GATTAACTTTACCTTCGACCGTTATGTTAGTGATTGTCTATTTTTTGTTAATTAATTACTCACAGTCCAGTGGTTATAGTTTGGTGGTTAGTTAATGGCTTTTATTGGTGTGTTTATTGAGTTTTCTTAATATGTTTTTTGACTATTATTGACATATCGCCTTCGAAGCACTTTTTGTGGAGTGTGTGTGTTGTATAGAGAGGTTTTCTTCACTTTTGATGTGAAGTACTAAAACATATACACACTTTCAACTGCTTTTAAAATTTATAGTGTACATACCCTTTTAGATTTGAATGAAATGTAATGATGAAGTTGCAAAAATTGAAGTTTTGTTGCTTGTGTATTTGAGGAACCTCTGTTTCGTTTGGAAGTGAAGATAATACCAAACTACAGTATATATTTGGAGTTGTAAAGCCCTTTGGCTTTGGGCAAGACTTTGATTTATGTATAGCGACTGAACAAGAGATTAAACCATAAGATAATTCTGAATATGTTATGTGGTGGATCCAGATCGTGTAAGCTATTCATATCATTTCCAAACAATCGAAGAACTAAGTTTTCTAAATAAAAAGTTCAAGAATAAACTCAACGAAACAAAGTGTTTGTAAGAATTCTGTGTGTTAATTAAGAGTTTGATCTCTTTCAAATAGAAATACATTGTATATTTTATACAAGTCTAAGTTGGTTCAATAAATCTTAGAAATATATGGAAAATTTTCAAATTCCTAGTACTTTTTTCATTTTTTATGTTCATCTTTTCTTTTTTTTTGTCTCAGGGTTGCAAGATCGGCTGACCACCATGGGCCTAGGCCGAACCTTTCCGTTGGGCCGGACTGACCACCAAAGGCCCAATTTGTATTTTTTTTGCTAAGTAAAAGTCTGAGTGGATTCGGATCTGAAAAGAATATTGACGATGGATACTAAATCCAGTACCATCATTATGATTTTCGTTTAGATTTTATTATCCGGTTGATTTTTTCAATGTAAACAACTCTCTTACTGTGCAACTATAATCAGCAACATGGAAATACATATCAAATAATATGGCAGTTTACCATTCAGTAAGACTTGAGAAGAGATTTATAAACAAAGAGCTGGCCCTGAGAATAATAGGCTGCAAACCCATCTAACTTTTTCGGACAAATTCATTAATAATGTTTTTCGAAAAAATAAACAAAAGAAAGTATTATTGAGGAAACTTGAATTCCTTTCCTCTAGTACCAGATTACAATGATTTTATTTTTTTAAAAATTTATAGCTGATTTTATATATTATTTTTAGAGAACCATAACTCTAAATTTGGTTGGTTTAAGCAAAAAGTCGGGCCGGACCGGACCTGAAACATCAGACGACATAGTCAAACTAAACTCTCACTGAACTCCTTATCAAACTTGCTCTCGTACGATATACTGATTTGGATTTCGAAAAGCCCTTTAAAAGATATCCCATATCACCCTCCCGAAGACATTCGTAACCTTGTGTGTCTAATACATCATGTCCTCAAGATAATAGATATGAATTCTCAAACATTTTTATAGCTCAACAACATTATGTAATCCCTAGAGGACGAAACTCATATCATAAGTTATGGAGTCTATTCGAAAAAGTTTACAATGTCTAATCCATAAGACCTACGACCCCTTGTATGAAAGATCTAAAATTCGACCTCAACACCTACATCCTCTATATATTAAATGATATATTTTTTTTTTCAAACAATGTTTTCGAAAAAATTTATTTATATTAAATGATATTTTCGTTACTCTATGCAAAATTAATTATTTTATTATTGTTTTGATCGTTTCATTACTGCAAATTATTTTTTTAAAATTGTGTTTAAATAGATAATAATAATTAATATTTTTTTAAACGTATGGATTTATTATTTATTATTATAAATTAGGAGAATTATTTCTACATTTATTTT